ATTTTCGATATTTTTTATAGTCAGCTAAATTTGAAAAAAGGTTATTTTTAAATTTAAAAAAAGGCTTTAATATGTGTTTTTATCCGCCATGAACTGCAAATAAGACATATTTTTTTATTTAAAAAGTGAATTGAAAAAACAACAAATATTTATACCCACTCTCAAGCAACTTTTATTTAAGTTCTTTGAAATAAAAAATAACTATTAAGGACATTGTATTCAAATTTATTTATAAAAAAAACTTTATACAAAAAAAAAAAGTTTCATGGAATTCATGGAATATGTACTTAATAATTCTAATTACTTAATTCTCTTATTTAATGCTCTTAATTACTCTTAATTACAAAATAAATCTTTCTTCAATGATTAAAAAAAAACTCTTTCGGTTATATGCTGGTCTGTCATTCGACTACGGGAGTCACAGACAATACATTTAATGGCAGAAGCCAACCGTTCAGATGGAACCGAACTTCCAGGCGTGATAAGAAAACTTAAAGCAACCTTCGCTAGCATCGGCATCGTTGAAATTTGTGAGTTCCAGAATTCCAACGGATTTGTCTCCCAACTACAAAATGGCATACTCAAGTAAACCTGCATTTCCTTTCTTTCGCAACAAATATCGGAGAACACCAACTCAAAAATATTATTATCGACTATTTTTGCCCAAAAAATATCACGATAATAATATTTTTTTAAGAGAAAATATATCGATATATCGATATTTTGATATATTTCCGACATCCCTAGCCGGTACTGAAAGTACTAACAATGGAAACACTGCACGAAGATTTTTTGCAAATTTAGCTGCGCGCCTAAAAAGAGTAACAGGAGAGAGTGTCCTGTGGACATTACTTAAACACCAATGCATTCGGATCGTACGCTATGGAAACTGCCAAAATTTTTGTTTATAAATACCCTTGGTTTGACATGCCATCGTCTGTTCACAGAATTTTAATTTTTTTGTGTATGATGTATATAAAATTTTTGTATACAATGTATGTTTCTTATTTACTTCTTGCATAATATAAGTTATAATTCTATTTCTTACTCTTTTTCTTTAGAATACAAAAAATTTAATAAAAGTCTTTTTTTAAATATAAAAAAAAAAATAAAAAAAAAACACTATAAATTTTATTTTTGTCCACATAATGCAAAATTGAGTAACAAACCGAAAATAAAAAACCGATTGAAGATATTTCTAATATTTCAGAAGGTATTAATTTAATGCCGCTAGCGAGACCGAATCGACCACTGTGCAGCGCCTCCAAACTTATGTGGCGTTAAGCACATGCCCTGGACTCCAAAATAGACCACCCACTGTAGTTCATCGGATTAAGATCCGGCGAGTAAGGTGCCCATTCACTGGATGTGATAAAGTCCGAAAAATTGGCTTTGCACCAGTCCTGAGTCAATTTGGCTCTATGGGGTGACGCTGAATCCTGTTGAAACGTCCACTCCGTATCACCGAAGTGCTGCTGGGCCCAAGGAAGCCAAACAGTTTCCAAAATGTCCCGGCGGTACACTTCCTGATTGATTTTGACCCCTTGATCGATAAAAACCATTAAAGACTGCTCACATTGATGGCGCACGATTATTGCAGAGGTACCTGGAGCTTTAGCAGACCAGCTTCTGTCATTTTGGTGATTGTGCGCCTGTTGGATGGTGAATATCTTCTCGCCCGTGAAAAGAATACGCTCCCATTTTTGACCTGCGGCCCGACGCTTTAGCTGACGGCATCTTTGGAGTCTTACGCGCTTATTCTCATCCGTAAGAAGATGCATTTTTTGGAGCTTGTAGGGCTTGAGATTAAGTTGATTTTTTGCAATCAACCGAACACTTTCTCGATTCACTCCGATTTCACGGGCTATTTTTCTGGCCGAGACTCCGAGTGAAATATCAAATTGATGGGAATCACAAAGATGTAAATATATTTGTTTCAGAAAAGTACAAGCTATCGATAAATGCATTTATTTAAGGGCTGCATCATAACACATTTATAATAGATTGCTTCAAAGTTTGTCCGGGTTATTTATTGTCACCCTGTATAAAAAAACGTAATCCCCTCTACTGAGCTGGGACGTAACTTAATTTACAAAAAAAAAAAAAAAAAAAAAAAAACGTAAAAAATATAAAAATCCTACGTGTGTCGATAGACAAAGGTATTTTTAATATACTATCAAAATCTCAGATCGATAGGTTAGGAGTTGTTCGAGTTATGTTTCCTGCCGTCTCAAAAAAAAAGGGGAAAACGGTTTCGAGAAAAACGCGTTTAGAGTTTTAAGTACTGTGGGATATACCTGTGAGGCATCGCCGCAGAATGGAACATTTCGACACATAGACACTTTTGTCGGACTCTTTCCTTTGATATGTTATTTTTAACACTTTAAAGATTTTTTTAAGCAAATAAAAAAATATTCGATTTTTTTCGAAACTCTACTCAGATGTCCCTTCTTAAGTCATTTGCTTTCAATATAAATTTGAAAATTCACTAATTCGAAAATGAATTTAGTCAAATAACTAAATGGATCATAATGCAAACTTATGTCTTCTTATCAATCTAGTCCTCAAAAGGCTATGTACTTTCTCTTTGGGTGCGTCTTAGAAAAAGTAAAGCAGGCTAAAGACCTGGGTGTCCTATACGATTTGAAACTTAAATGTTCCGACCATATTTTATCATGGTTAATAAAGCAAAGGGCGTGCTTGGTTTTATTAAAGGATGGTTTAAAGAATTTAATTACCCCAGGATTAAATTGGGATGCTAATTTTCAACTAAAACGCTTAAAAATGTACGTTTCTAGTAGAAGGACTAGAAACTACTTCTTAGCCATTGTAGTTCGACATATGTAGTCCGAACATAATACCATATTATAACCGAACATAATACCATATTATATTCGACCTAATAAACAATTCCTACTGCGTCTCTTTAAAAGCTTAAAAGCTCTCTTGGACCTCTTCTATTTATTATTTTCATTAACGACATCTCGTCATGCTTTCGTCATTCCTACTTCTTGATGTATGCGGATGACCTTAAAATCTATAAAGCGATTAGCTGTATTAGTGGCAGTTACTTGTTACAGGAGGATATATCCAGAGTTTACTCATGGTGCTCCCGTAATCTTCTTCCATTAAACTTATCTAAGTGTATGTTTACCCGTTACAGTAGGCGGTCTCTTCAAATCTGTACGGTTTTTTCCATCAGTAATTATAATTTGGCAGCTAAAGAGGAGGTGTTAGACCTTGGTGTCTTATTCGACAGCAAGTTTATATTTTCTGGTCACTTAGACTATATTCTGCCTAAAGCGTATGCTATGCTGGGCTTTGTTAAGAGGAACGTGAACCAATTCAAAAGTCCATACTCAAGCTTCAGCGTCTACGCTGCATTTGTTCGGTCGGGGCTGGAATATGCCTCAATCATTTGGAATCCGGATTGTTCGTTTCAACCGAATTGAGCGACTCCAGAAAATTTTTTTTAAATTTGCTCTTCTGCCTCTAAGGTTTCAGGATCCTCTACCTTCATACCAGAGCCGCTGCCTTCTTCTCAATGTTTTCACGTTGGAGGATCGGCGTAAACTGGCAGCTTTACCTTAAACAATGTAGTCGCTGATAACATTGATTGTCCTTTTTTATTGGGACTCATTAATTTTAATGTTCCTCAAAGGGATCTTCGTACGTTTGCCCCCTTTCGGATCAAGTGTCAAGGGCAAATTATCTTTTAAACGAGCCGATTGAGCGGGTTTTTTCTTATTTTAACTCTTTCTTATTTAACTCTTTGCGCCTTCTGCACCAAAAGGGTTGTCTTCAAATGCTTGTTAATCAGGCACCTTTCAAGTTTGTATTAGTATTGTACTATTATTAATTAGTTTGTAGGTTGTTATGTTGTAGCCATGTAAGGATTTTTTCCGTTGGCGAAATAAATAAATAGATAAATAAATAAATTAATTAATTAATTAATTAATAAATAAATAAATAATAAAAATTATTTTTTAAATTAAAAAATTTTTTTATTATATCCCTACACATATATATATATGTCATATATTCCTTTATATCCTTACCCTTATTTTTTTATATTGTACCCTACTACTAGAGTACAAGGTTACTGTATTATATCAGCATTTTAAATAGGATTAAGAGTGAGTCTGAAGTAAAAAGTATCTGGAGTTAACTTGTCTCTAGCGCCTTTTTGTTTTGTATTAATTTCTCTCCCATCTATCCTTTTTACAGGTTTGGGGAGATTGTACTTTGTTTTATTTTGAGGGCAGATTCAACAATCGGTTGTATCGGTTGCACCAATTTACTTGGGATAAGCGGCGACATAGCGCTAGACACAAAGGCATTGCAAATGTCATTAACGTTTTACAAAATTAACTAAAAGGGGAGGAAGTTGGCTAGTTTTCCCGCCGTTAAATTATTTTCCCCATTGGGACAGTAACTTATTAAGAATTCTCCCTTATTAGCGTGTGATTTTGTGTTTGCATATATTTTAGTTTGGCGACAATCAATTAAGTTTTGGCTCGCCTCTGTTGCGAGACAACCCTTGATAACTGTGAGTCGTTGGGCCGCCTACTATATTGTATCAACTTTGTTTCCTCTAACTAAGTACTTAAAAAAGGAAAACCACCATTATTTTGTAAAGACGCTGGGACTAGGACAAGTAAATATTTTGCATTTGGTTTCAACGTTATTAGAAGTTCCTTTAACGTTTTCTTTACTCCTCTTAACACAAATTAATGCGATTAAAAGTGTAGCTATTTTTGTAAAAAGTATTTATGGTATTGGAACAAATTTATGGTTTAGAGGGGTCGGATGCGCATCCAACCCTGCGTTCGTTCCCAACGCTTTCTACTTTAAAAGTATTATATTTGCGCGTTCTGTGCAAACCTCACTATTAATATATACTTGTATAATTTATTTAACATTTCATTTATACTAAGGCTAAGAAATACTCGAGTATTCTTCCCCATCGCCTAACTAATAATTTAATAATTTACATTTAGGAATCAATTCGACAATAATAAAAGGAATATGTAAAGTAATTGCAACAACTTTAACAAAGTACAAGGATGTTTCATCCCAACGAACTGTTCGCGAACTAATTGTTGAACTGGCTAGAAATCATCACGACTTAACAATAGAACATATGTTAAATGTGTTCAAAGCTCTTTTGTTTAAAGAGTTTGCATCTGTCTCCCCACAAAGATCTTGTAAATCATCCGTTATTGCATTGGGATGGATTTCTTTATTACAAAAGGAAGCGAATAACAATTCTAACATCTATAAAACTGAAAAAAAGAGAATAATAGAATATCAGTCGTTATTTTATCAGATAACGTTATTATCATCTTACCAAAGAATGACAGATGCTGCAGCAAAAATATTATTTGAAATATGGGAAAATAAAACAATATTCGAAGAAACCTTGCACACAATATTTGAAATGGAAGCTACACCTAACACCACTCTCATTTTAATACTTATGGTTGAATTTGATTCTAAGCGCAATAAGCAACCAATGCTCAAATCCCATAATACAAAGATTTCGGAATATTTTGTGAAGAGCATGATTTCAAGCAAAAATAAACCGGATAAATGCTTTATAAAAGCATGCCGCCCATTTGTGGAATCATTCACTCAAACTGATTTTGATACCATTATACTACCTCCATTGCAAAGATCCGTTTTACGAAGCCCAGAAAATGTACTTGAAAGTATTGGATTAATTTTTGACATGGTTAATTTTGATTGTAGTCGTTATGCTGAGAAAATGGGAAATGTCCTTATAAAAAATTTGTATAGTATCAGCGATGTTGCACGTCGCGAGGCATTGGAGTCGTTAAAACTTATTTCATTAAAGTGTTCAGATTGGCTTATAATAAAAGGATTATTGGAAAATATTTTTTCAGTTTTAAATGGATCTGATGGAAAAATAAATGTGGTTGAGTATAGGCTGAACATTCTACAGGTAAACTTACAAACAAATATAAACTATATTTTAATACTCGTTGCAATGTGTAAAATTTATTGATCAGCTATTTTACTAAGGTAGAGGTTAAACAATTGAAATTATCAAAAAAAAAAAAAAAAAATTTTTTTTAATTTTAAAAATTCTATAATTCAATTCGATAAATATCACAGTACGACAATTTTGAATTTTTTTCACGGACCGTAAATAATGATTATTGTTATGATTTTTATTTTAAAAAGAAATGAAAGTTAACTTCGGTCGGAGCCGAAGTTGATGTATGTACCCTTGCAGTTAAAACCGGAAACAACGGATATGGTTGGTCGATTCTCATGAGAATATCATAATATAACCAATTTATTAAAATAAAGCTATAACAAAGTCCCAAGCTTCAATCATCAAAAATACCAAACTTGGTATTTTTACCAAATACCATTTCCGATCGTTCAGTTATATGGCAGCTATAGGATATAGTCGTCCGATTTCGGCCGTTATGACTTATATACTGCATGCAAAGGAAAGAAGGGTGGGTGCAAAGTTTCAAGTCGATAGCGAGAGAGAGACTTGTTTGCGTCTCTCCTTCATAGGGTCGGAGATGTCTCCTTCACCTCGTTGCACACTTTTGACCAAAATTATAATACTCTCTGAAAGGGTATAAAAATCACAGAATAATGATTATTCTCTGAGCGAAAAAATAAATATCAGAAATAATCATTATTTTATGATCGAAAAAAATAATCGATCAGAAAATAATTATTATTCGATGATCGAAAAATGGTTACGGTACTAAATAGTACCTGTATATGTTGTCTAAAAAGATATGCAGTCAAATCTCAAAAAAATCTATCACATAGCGCGAAATAATGATCAAAGTGATATTTTTGAGCGAAAAAATAAAAATTAGAAATAATGATTATTTATGATTTTTATTTTTCACTCAGAGAATAATGATAATTTTCTGATTTATGATTTTTAACCAAAGATTTTCTTATGGAAGAACTTTTTTTCTCTTTTAAATCAGTTGATCGTTCGATTTTTAAAATTTATGAAAAAGCACGCAATAATTTTATTGAATTTATTATAGTTAGTTAAATAATATTTTCGTCAATTAAATTGTAGTTTTAAATCTCATTTTGATAACCTTGCAGAAGGTATTATAATTTTGGTCAAAAGTGGGCAACGCAGTGAAGGAGACATCTTCGACGCTGTAAAGATGTAAAATATATCTTTAGCTGTTAAATATATAGATGTATTCTTGATCAGGATTAGCCCTGAGTTGATATAAGCATGTCCGTTTGTCTGTTTCTACCCAAACTAGTCTCTAAGTTTTGAAGCTATCGTTTAAAGTTTAGCAATTCATTTCTTTTTGAATCTTTTTGTATAATACCATAAACCTAAAAATATAATAATGTTATGTATACTTTTCTTTTAGGGAGCAGGCTGTTTAAGTTTTAACAAAATAGATCAAGGACACTGGCCTGAAATGTTAAATGAAGCCGTAAACTTTTTTTGGAAAGCCCTTGAAAATGAGACTCAAGAAAAAGTACTATGCTGCATACTAGAAATGTTTGGTTTATGGACTCAAAACTTCAGGAACGAGTTACCAAGTGTTATTTTAAATATTTTTAAATCTGGAATACAACAGAAAAACATTACTCAAATAGTTAAGCAAAGCTATATTGAATGGTTTTTAATATCAATCAAAAATGCCACAATAACCAATAATTACACCATTGTATCAGATCTTATTTCACTATACAGTAAAGCAATGCAGAATTCCTTGCAATTAAGTCAGTTCTCCGAAGTAATTTGTATCGCATGTATTATTCTTATATTAGAAAAACCGTCGGAAAACTACAGCTGCTTTTGGGGAACAGTATTTGATTTAAACAAACAAATTTTCTTTAATGAAAAGTTTTCTACCATGGCTCCTGCTGAGACATTATGTAATTTATCATTAATGGCAAAACTGTTGATTAGATTTTACCCAGACAAATTAAAAGGAAGTTTAGAACCCTTAGCACGAACCTTAGTTAATAATTTGTGCAGTAATTCATCAAAAGTTCGAAGTTCTACGGTTGCAGATGTCAAAGAAATCATGAGAAAATCTAAAGGAACACAATTTCAAAGTTTGGCATTATGTGAATTTCAAAAACGGATCAATTTATGCAACATTCAAAATGAAGGCGACCTTTACACGGATCAATTTGGAACTCCATTAGAAGCGTATGTTGATGCTTTAAAAGTTTTATCCAATGTAGAAAATATATCACATGAAGAATCTGTTGAGGTAGCAATTGAGTTGTTGCTTGTGTCTCACCATCCAGCAATATTATCATACGATCCATATTTTTGGGAAAAAACCATCCAACGTAATTTTGAGCTAATTCCGGAGAATTTCATATTGGGCCAAAAAGATTACATTGTTAAAGAATACATAAATAAGTTTCAAGCATGTGCTGCCTATGAAAATGTCATATCAACATTGGTGCGTATAAGTCCTAATTGTATAGTTCCACTAATTATAATGCATATTAAGAGATATTTATGCCGTTCTGAAAATTATCTTATTTCGAAAGAAGAATACTTTACTTTTATGACACCATCTGGTGAATTATATGACAAAAGTGTAATACCTCATATAGACTCACAATATGAAACGGTTCGAGTGAAAAGAGAAAATAAAGTTTACAGCTACAAAGAACAATTAGAAGAGATAGCGCTTCGTCGAGAAATTGACGAAAAAAGGGAAAAGGAAGGAAAAACTAAAACAGTTAAGCTTACCCAAAAGCAAGAGGAACAAATAAGAAACCAAACAGAGAAAGAACTACGAATAAAAAATCGGGTTCAGCAAATGCATGAAAATTTAATTGCAATAATAAGCCTGCTAAAAGCTGCATGTACTGAAAATGGAAAACATATTTCCATTCACTTACACACTTTATTAAATGATATTTTGGAAGCAAGCATTAGTCCACTAAGCCACGAAGCTCTTACAGATCTTTACGTATTCTTTCATACTTTGTGTTTTCAATTTAATACCGAACTTGGTCAAGCAATTGCGCTAAGCACTATTGAACTGCAAAACCTAAAATTCGTAACAAAGGATGAAACAACTAATTTAAATATTCAGAAATCAATTGAAGCCCTATTATGTGATCTTGAAAACCAAATTAAATGTAATATTTTGGATTCACCCTCATTTTCGTATGCGTTTGAGTTTCTTCGAAGGGCGTTATCATTTTTAAATAGTGACTTATATAGTGAGCTTATTTTGAAAGGAATACAAATAATAGATACTCACACTCAAGTTGAACATATAAGCATTTGTGCTCCAAAATTTTTACCAAGATTGGGTATGTTTGAAATTTTATTATATCTTTTCAAAAAAAATAGTAGATTAGAGATTCCATCGGCTTCTGCCATTTTAGCAGTTGCCAAATCTTTAGAAAACTCAGATTCCTGGACAAACGCGGATTGTGAAATAATTAATGTATTTTTAGAAGCTTTACAATTTTCTAAGGACTCTGTAAGAAATATTGCCCTAAAAGCATTAAAAATAATGGAAAAATCAATATTTGATTTTGTGAAATTGCATAGAGACATTCAAAATCATGTAATAAAAAGGTTTTGGATTGCGAAATTTGATATATCTGAAACTAACCGGAATCTTGCCACCTTCATATGGGATAGTTCAAACTTACCTCTTCCAACAGTTGATGATATTATCAGTGATATTACGCACTCAGAACTATGTATTCAGAAATCTGCTGCAGAATCATTAATGCCACTAATAGTTAAAGATGAAATTTTAATTAAAAGCGTAATAACGAAATTATTTAAAATTTACAATGACAAATTGGCACTTATACCACCGGTATTAGATCAATTCGATCGTGAAACTGAACCAGCTAAAGATCAATGGAAACCACGAAGAGGTGTCGCAATAACTTTTTCCCAAATGGCACCTATTTTATCTATTGAGGACATTAATGTTATAATGAATTTTATGGTGTCACAGGGACTTGGCGATCGTGAGGATGTTGTCCACAAAGAAATGTTAGCAGCTGCATTGAAAATAGTAGATATACACGGTAGTAAGACCATAGTAAACCTGTTACCTGTTTTCGAAGATTTTCTTGACAAAGCTCCAAAGTCTCAGAGTTTTGACAACATTCGTCAAGCAGTTGTTATTCTTATGGGTTCTTTAGCACGACATTTGCAAAAGGATGATAAGAGAATTGAACCCATTGTTAAAAGATTATTGACAGCGCTATCTACTCCTTCCCAACAAGTTCAAGAAGCTGTATCGAACTGTTTACCACATCTTATGCCTTCTGTAAAAGATGAAGCTCCTGCTATGATTAAGAAACTTTTGCATTCATTGGCAAAGTCCGAAAAATATGGTGAGCGACGTGGAGCTGCTTATGGCATAGCTGGAATCGTCAAAGGATTAGGCATATTATCCTTAAAACAATTAGATATAATGTCCAAATTAACTACTTATATTCAGGAAAAAAAAAATTACAGATCACGAGAAGGAGCATTGTTTGCATTTGAAGTATTATGTAATACACTTGGTCGATTATTTGAACCGTATATAGTTCACGTGTTGCCACATTTGTTACAATGCTTCGGAGATTCCTCCCAATATGTAAGACAAGCAGCTGATGACACTGCTAAAGTAGTTATGGGAAAGCTATCGGCACACGGTGTTAAGCTTGTACTTCCGTCACTTTTAGAAGCTCTTGATGAAGATTCATGGAGAACAAAAACAGCTTCAGTTGAGTTATTAGGAGCAATGGCGTTTTGTGCACCAAAACAACTTTCGTCCTGTTTACCAAGTATCGTTCCAAAGCTCATAGAAGTTCTTGGCGACTCTCACACAAAGGTACAAGAATCTGGCGCAGAAGCTCTGAAAGTTATAGGTTCTGTCATAAAAAATCCTGAAATTCAAGAAATTGTTCCTATTTTATTGGACGCACTTGAAGACCCGTCAAATAATACATCTCATTGTTTACAAAGCCTATTAAAAACTAAATTTGTTCACTTTATTGATGCAGCCTCACTGGCGCTTATTATGCCAGTGGTTCAAAGAGCTTTTATGGATCGGTCGACAGAAACAAGAAAAATGGCCGCTCAGATAATAGGAAATATGTATTCGCTTACGGATCCGAAAGACTTATCACCATATTTACCAAGCATAATCCCGGGCCTTAAAGCATCTTTATTAGATCCCGTTCCTGAAGTAAGGGCTGTATCTGCTCGTGCCCTTGGTGCAATGGTTAAAGGTATGGGGGAAAGCTCATTTGAAAATTTATTGCCATGGTTAATGGAAACTTTGACGTCCGAATCAAGTAGTGTGGACCGTAGTGGAGCAGCACAAGGTCTTTCTGAAGTGGTCGGTGGCCTTGGCGTAGAAAAAATGCATAAACTTATGCCGGAAATTATTTCGACAGCTGAAAGAGTAGACATTGCTCCGCATGTAAAGGATGGATACATAATGATGTTTATATATATGCCAGGGGCTTTTCCAGATGAATTTACACCATATATCGGACAAATAATTAATCCAATTTTAAAAGCGTTGGCAGATGAAAGCGAATATGTACGTGATACTGCACTAAAAGCAGGTCAAAGAATTGTTCATTTATATGCAGAAACTGCTGTGGCACTTCTTCTTCCTGAGCTTGAAAAAGGATTGTTTGATGATAATTGGCGAATACGATATAGTTCAGTTCAGCTGTTAGGCGATTTATTATATCGAATATCCGGAGTTTCTGGAAAAATGACAACCGAAACCGCTAGTGAAGACGATAATTTCGGGACCGAACACTCTCATGCAGCTATTATTCGTTTTTTGGGAGATGAGCGCAGAAACAGAGTATTATCTGGGCTTTACATGGGACGAAGTGATGTTTCGTTAATGGTTCGTCAAGCTGCTTTACATGTATGGAAAGTAGTGGTAACAAATACTCCCAGAACCCTGCGTGAAATCCTTCCAACCCTATTTGGCTTACTTTTAGGGTGTTTAGCAAGTACAAGTTATGACAAAAGACAAGTAGCAGCTCGAACATTAGGCGATTTAGTAAGAAAACTCGGAGAGCGAGTTCTACCAGAAATCATTCCTATTCTTGAAAATGGATTAAACTCAGATCACCCTGACCAACGCCAAGGAGTCTGTATTGGCTTATCCGAAATAATGGCGTCTACATCTAAAGAAATGGTCCTTACATTTGTTCATAGTTTAGTGCCTACTGTTCGAAAAGCTTTGCAAGACCCCTTACCTGAAGTGAGAGAAGCAGCTGCAAAAACATTTGAATCTTTACACACCACGGTAGGATCCAGAGCATTAGATGACATTTTGCCTTATATGCTAGAAGGTCTTTCGGATCCAGACCCTTTGGTTGCAGAAAATACTTTAGATGGCCTAAGACAAGTAATGTCAATAAAATCAAGGGTAGTTTTGCCGTATCTTGTACCCCAGTTAACCTGTCCCCCCGTTAATACAAAAGCTTTATCTATTCTGGTATCCGTTGCTGGAGATGCATTAACAAAGTTTTTGCCCAAAATTTTATCTGCATTATTAGAAGCTTTATCGGAATCTTACGGAACTCCTCATGAGCAGCAAGAAATTGATTATTGTCAAACTGTCATATTATCAGTAACAGACGAAACAGGAATTCGTACAATAATGGATACCTTGTTAATATCCTCAAACTCATCCGATCTATGTACTCGAAAGTCTACAGCAAGTTTGCTATCCGCTTTTTGCATACATTCACCAGGAGATTATTCACAGTATATTCCTCAACTTTTTAGATGCTTACTTAAATTAATGGTTGAGAAAGATAGAGATATTTTGCAGAAGTCGTGGGAAGGACTTAATGCTGTAGTTAAAGGTCTCAGTACGACTCAACAAATTGCTCATGTCTCTGATGTTAGACAAGCAGTAAGATTTGCAGCTAGCGAATTAAAAGAAACAGAGCTTCCAGGTTTTTGTTTGCCAAAGGGAATAACGCCTTTGTTACCAATTTTTAGAGAAGCTATATTAAATGGGCTTCCAGAAGAAAAAGAAAATGCAGCTCAAGGCCTTGGCGAAGTTATTTTTTTAACAAATTCCCAATCTCTACAGCCTTCTGTTGTACATATCACTGGTCCACTGATTCGAATATTAGGAGATCGCTTTAACGCAGCAGTTAAAGCCGCTGTATTGGAAACATTGGCTATTTTGCTCCATAAAGTTGGCGTTATTTTAAAACAGTTTTTACCTCAACTTCAGACCACTTTTCTTAAAGCTTTGAATGACCAAAATCGGAATGTACGAATGAAAGCTGGAAAAGCTCTTTCTGAATTAGTAGCAATACACGCCAGAGCTGATCCGTTATTTAATGAAATTCACAACGGAATTAAAAATTCAGATGACTCTTCAGTTAGGGAAACAATGTTGCATGCCCTTCGAAGTATAGTGAGCCCTTCCGGAGATAAAATGTCCGAACCAATAAAAAAACAAATTTTTTCTACTTTATTAAGTATGATTGGGCATCCCGAGGATGTCACTCGCAATGCAGTCGGAGGCTGCTTGGGAGCTATGTTGAAATATTTACCAAATTTGCAAATAGAAGATTTTCTGAATAATTCAATTTTGGCAGTAAATGACGTAAATGATTTGCAAGTTAAACATGGCCATACGGTTGTTTTGTTTGTAGCCCTTAAAGAATGCCCTAACCAAGTACTAACTTCATCGCTTTATCCAAAAATTACTGCAAATATTTTGGGAAATATTGGATCAGAAAAAGTGCCAATTGCTTGTAATGCTATTAGAGCAGCCGCTTATTTATTAGAGTACAGTCTCAAAGCTAATTCTGAAAATCCATGTAATATTATAGTTGCGCTAGCTAGAGCAATGAATCACAATAGTAATGATGTGAAGCAATTAGTAGCAAAAAGCTGTATTTATCTTTCGAAAAATTTGACTGCAGATCAAATTAATCTTGATGTTTTGAAATATTTGGTTCCTATGTTAGTCAATGGAACTAAAGAGAAAAATGGATATGTAAAATCGAACTCAGAATTGGCACTTATTTCCATTTTAAGATTAAGAACCGACAACATAACTTTATTGAAAGTTTCTGAAATTTTGGAGTCTGGAGCTAGGGAATCATTAAACGATGTCGTGACAAAAGTATCAAAACGAGCAACTACACAATCGGTGGTAAAGGACGAAGAACTCGATGATACGTTACAAACATAAGCTCGGTTTTAAACTATTGTGGTTGAATTCTGTAAGAAATAAACATCTCGTTTATATGTCTTGTAAATAAAATAATTTTAATTATTGAACTATGACATTTTACTATTTTTAAGGGACAATTTGTAGGGGCGAAGTGAAGTAGAAGTCGTGCAAAGGGGTGCAAATACCAATCTCTCATGTAAGTATGACCTGACGTTAAAATATGTAATGTATTGTTGATTTACCGAGCGTTTTCGGTACCGACAATTTTCCCAGTTCCCGATAAATAATCAAAGCGATCAACTAAATTCCTATTATGGCGGTTATATTTAGAGAGCGGAGCGGTCGATGGCGGTGGTCTGATTGGAGCTTTTTACAAGTATATTTATTATGTATGCAGATGAAAGCGGACGATCCGCAGATAGAGCATTTTATGGTGCTAAGCAGTGACCTAATGCATTTGTATAAAGGGGTCGCATACCATGGGCGAAAGAGAGAGCAAGGAGCAAGGCCGAATGCACATGCGCAAAGCTCGTACGAACAAATGCACAGCGCGATAATGCACTGGTCAGATAAGACTGCAGCGATTAGAGATGCGCAAACCGACCAGACATGCGTCGTCGACCAAAACCGCTGTCGCTATAACTAAGTACATACAATATTACAGAAAACTAATAAAAACATGAAAGGAACCGCAGTTGATATACCCTTGCAGTTAAACCGCATATATATTGCCAAAATTGGACATAGTTGGCCGATCCTTATGTGAATATCACTATATAAACAATTTATTACAATAAAACGGAAAGGAAAGCTAACTTCGGGCGGAACCGAAGTTGATATACCCTTGCAGTTAAAACCGGATATGTATCGCAAACATTGGATATAGTTAGCCGATCCTTATGAGAATATAATAATATAACCCAATTTATTATAATACAAAATCTAAAAAAAGTCCCAAACTTCTATCTTCTAAAATACCAAAGTTGGTATTTCTACCAAAAACCATTTCCGATCGTTCAGTTATATGGCAGCTATAAGATAAAGTCGACCGATCGTTATGAAATTTGGTAGGCCGGATAAACTGACCAAAACTAAAATATGTACCAAATTCAGCTTCCCATCTTTAAAAATACGAAAGTTTGGTCACTTCCGATCGTTCAGTTATTGCAGCTATAGGATATAGTCGACCGATCCTTATGAAATTTGGTGTGTCGTATTATTCTGCCAAAAATAAAAATTTCTGCCTGATCAATCAGTTATATGGCAGCTATAGGATTTAGTCGGCCGATCCCGGCCGTTCCGACTTATATACTGCGTGCAAAGGAAAGAGGGGTGTGTGCAAAGTTTCAAGTCGATAGCTTTAAAACTGAGAGACTAGTTCGCGTAGAAACAGACAGTGATATTTAATTTCTGATTTTAGCAAAATTGTATTGTACTGGCCATATTGTCTGTTCTTCCAAAATCACTCAAAACTTGCGTGTGTGACACAGTTTAGTGATATTTGGGAGTGTTTTGTGTGGCATATGTATAAACAAGCTCTTAATTTTTGATTTTGCTAAAATATTTAAAAATAAAGCTTTAGTAATGAAAAGAAAAGGTTTACTAGTTTACACATGTAAGTTAACTACTGGAATATTTCATTTAGTGATGAACCTATTCAGCAAATTTCAATCTTATTGCAACAATATTAAAGAAAATAAACACGAGCTTTGGGCCGCCTTATCGCTGCTTGACCCGGATCCAAGGAGAAAACTTGTTCCAACCAAATTTCAGAGAAAATTTTTCTCAGTGGAAACATTTTTTTTAAGATTGGTCTTTCAAATGTGGCATAATGGGAGCAAATGAGAGAGGTTCTAAGAAAATTTAAGAGTGCTCACACTGTCACTGTGCGCTGCGGCAGAGTTTCGGGCCTAATCCACGCATGTTATGGAAATTGAGTTTGCTCACCACTCCTCATTTAAATAACAGACATACATATATGCATGCTAATGTAAATGGTAAAAACTTATGAAAGTATGTATGAACGACTCATTTTGCGATAATATTTAATAGTATTTTTAAAATTTGTGCGTCATCTTTTAAAAAGTCTCCTACACACATAAGTTCTTAAAAGACCGCTAGCTCCCAGTCAGTTGACGAAATGTTTTTTTCAACGAGCACAAGTAAGACCAGTTTTTACGATCTGAAGGTCATTGTCGCTACTGTTCAACTTTTCAATTCGTGCATGTGTAAACTAGTAAGCCTTTTATCTTTTCATTACTAAAGCTTTATTTTTAAATATTTAAGGCAACACCAAAAATAAAAAGCTTATTTATACATATGCCACACAAAACACTCCCAATATCACAAATGTGTCACACACGCCAGTTTTGAGTGATTTTGAAAGAATAGACAATATGGCCAGTGTTTTTGCTAAAATCAGAAATTAAATATCACTTTTAAGTGAAAAGTTCTAATAATCCATAAGAAGTTTTGTATTTGTGACAAAACACTGGTAAAACATTCCATGAACTTAATTGATAAAATTTATATTTTTGTGCCTTTTATACAAATTTATTTATTTAATTCAGATTCTTGAAGCTGATTTTGGAGTACAAGTTTAAACAAAAATGTATTGAATGAAATTTTAATGCATTTTATGAATACAAATTTATTATTCTTTATTGTGAAACTAATTGAAAATGAAAAGTGAAAAATTTCCAGTTGTATGTAATTTCACCAAATCAGTACTGCTTTCTGTGGCACCCCCGATTTACCCAGTGGCGCAAAGCCGGAATACTTTAGAAATCTCCAACACTTTAGAAATAAGGCAGTTACATATATATCGTATATATAGGAGTGTAGTACAGATGGTTTACTGACCTGTAGACATACGTATGTATATACAATATCTAACATACTCTTTTCTTTAAAAGTCTTTAATAATAGACCAATTGACATACCAGTAATATATTTTAATACCTCCTTATACCCTTTCAGAGGGTATTATAATTTTGTCCAAAAGTGTGCAACGCAGTGAAGGACCCTATCTCCGACCCTATAAAGTATATATATTCTTGATCAGGATCACCTCCTGAGTTGATATGAGCTTGTACGTCTATCTGTTTCTATGCTAACTATTCTCTCAGTTTTAAAGCTATCGAAATTTTACATGAGAGCTATTTTTGGCAAAATAATACGACGTGCCAAATCTCATAGGGATTGAATTGAAATTTGTTTCGTTTATTTGTTTTTGGCTCTATTGGCGACCAACTATTGTTTTGGATTCTCAGGGCCTCTACTATCAATTATTCTACTATCAATTTATTAAAATTAATAATAATTCATCGTTTTTTTCGAATTTTAAAATTAAAATGTATTTTAATGTAATTAATTAAATGGCCGCTGTGGTCCGATTTAAAAAAATATTAATTCGTGGGTACCCAGTACCTGCTCGCTGTAGTAGCTGACAAAACCAATACAGAAGAAAGCTGGCTTCAGCAAGCAACTGAATAGAATTTCCTTGGCTTGTAAGGTGCATTACTTAACTCTGGATTAGGGACGAATCGTTTATCAATTTGCTGGGAGTTGGTCAAGCTAATTCATAAGTAATGAAAATATACAATGTCACGGAGTCGAGAATTATTGAGTGAGTTTCCGATCGACTTTTGGATTTTAAGAAACGTTTTTGGCTATCACCCTTATCTATCAGTGAACGTGAACGGTTGGAACCTATTTAAGAACTTGCCATTAGCTTTTTTCGAACTTTTGTCCGTTGGTCAAATAAATAAAGGTCCGAACCATCCAATCCTACAAAAAACACTCCTTGGAAGGTTAGTATCTAGGAAATATATCTGGCCTTAACTTTTTAAGGGAAATTACAAAACTCTATAGACAGTAATTTGAAAAAATTCTAATCGTGGGAAGACGAATCATCTGCTAACAAGGATTTGTCGCCTGAATAAAATTATGTGACCAACATTATCAGAAGAACATTATCAGTACTAAAGTACTGCTTTCAGGTTGATTTTAATTAAGGCATCACATTAATGCGTTTCTATCCAAGCGTTTTGGAAAACTCCTTTGAGGTTTCCAAACGGCGTTTTTTTTCCGGTCGTGGAAAAAATTGTTTCGAGATCCAAATTCAAAGAAATGTCAAGAACATTTAAAATTTATGGAAGAATACTAATTTCCCATCAAGCAGTAATGTACTTGTTACTTCGCACTATTTTATACACCATCAGTGTGACTTAACATACAGCCTCAAAGAACATCAAATTTTTTTTAGAAGCTTTCCATTTGACTCATTTGACAGTCCAAACTTTTTAATCAAAATGTTTTCACTGAGAAAAATGTTCTCAGAAATTGGGTTAGAAAAAGTTTTCTCCATATAGATGGGGAAGCGTAGTTTTTCATTTGTTTAAGAACTGTTGCTAGCAAAGCTTTCCTTAAAATAAAATACACTATTTTAGTGCCCATTCCAACTTTTGGAACAAGACAAGTGAAATAAAAAACTACGCTTTTTTCGCTCACTGAATGCTTTCTCTCATTGTTTTTTTAACACAGTATACAGTTTTACAGTATAAATGTGTGAAACGTCATGCTCACAGCTTACTTTCTGCTATTCGTTACTAATACTAATGCGTTAAAATCAAATCAATGTATTGGGGTGCCGACCACTGCTCTAAATGGATGGCCTTAGTGGAGAAGCACACGAACACCAACACATAACCCTTTAGGATGAGACAGGCGCGCCCCGTATAGTTTTTTATCTAGAAAGGACCGGCATAATCCACACCGGTGTACGTAAATGGGCGCGAGAAGGAGGTCCTTTCCTTAGGTAGCTTTCCCATGAGTTGCGTATGCAACTTCTTCTTGTGGATGACACATACTTTACAAGAATAGACGACGGACTTGACCAAATTCCTCCCCCTTGGAATTCAGAATATGGCCCGGATCAGATGGATCATCAGCTGATTGCCACCGTGCAGCGTGATGCGATGCGTAAATTGAACAAGGAGTCGAGACAGATGGCAGTCGTACGGAAGGGTTATAGGGTGCCGTTCGTCATACTGGAGAAGTTCAGAGGACGTGACCCGGCCGCATGCTCTCATAGGGCCTTGCGAAT